TCGTCTTATAATCAGGGTCGTCTTATATTCGGGCCAATACGGTATATATATATATATTAGAGATGCATCGATTGCAATTTTCTTGGCCGATTCCGATTTCCGATTTTTTGTTATGGCGCTTTTCTACTGCGTGGTACGACTTGGCACGGCACGGCTCGGTTTGGCTCGGTTTGCGTTTCCACTGCAGTTCAGTACCGCTTTAGAGTGGGCGGGATTAACCGAGCCGTATCGTGCCGTACCATGCAGTGGAAAAGCGCCATTAGTGTGATCTGCCGATACCGATTTTTGCCGATTCTGATTTTCTTTCTAAGAACTATAATTGACTGCATATACAAACAAAAATCTACTTTTCTTCAACGCAAAGTTTTAGTTTCATAAAAAAACAAGTAAAAAGTCAATAATAAAATAAGAACAAATAAAAAAAATTCAGATTAAAAAAATCAGCACAAATAAATGCAATAGAATAAAGAGAGCTATGAAACTAAGTTTTTCAGGTTAAGTAAGTTTTTATTCAGCTCACAAGCTGTTTGAGACTGAGCGCGGTTTGTGCGCTCCACTAATATAGATCAGTGGTGGTGCGCGCGCGCGCGCGCGCTTGGTATAAGCGCGAAACCTGCGAGATTGACTAAAATAATGCGCAATACAAGCACTATTTAACCGGAGCGAATGAGACATGTGTGTGTGAGAGAAGGGGTCGTCGGAGAGAAGAGAGCGAGAATGCGCGGCTGACGTTATTGCCTGTGCCGCTGGTAACAAAACGGATTGGCTCGAAATCGGAAAGAAGTGAGACTGACCGGCCGATCACCGATCTGGGCCGATCATGAGAAAAATCGTCCGATTCCGATCCCTGGCCGATCGATCAGTGCATCTCTAGTATCGGATCGATATCGGTACCGGCAGATACTCAGAATTTTTGGTATCGGATCGGTATCGGTTCTGAAAAAGTGGTGTCGAGCCATCCCTATTTATTTCCTAAAATTCTATTTTAATTATTCTGATTATTCAAATACAGACATTATTTTTTTTAAATTGACATAAAAGGTAACACACAGCTTGTGTAAATAAATAAATAAACACCTCTTTAAATGCCCATGAAATTCAACTCCTGGTGGAAAATACTGATAAACAATATTTAACATTAAATTAATTTCTGACACGTAACCCATCAGCCTCATTCATTCATAATGCAGTATGAACTCTCCACTTACAACAGGAACTGAGAATTACTCGTTCACACAGATTCCATCTGCCATTATCAATACAGTTTTCAAAGCATCACAGAGCGTGAGACAAATCCCAGGATTAATTTATCCAGACACTTATACTACTTACCCCCATCAGACCCTTTAATATAAGAGATGAAAGCATATTGCTGTGAATATAATTATGCATTTAGTCCAGATCTAATCCTGTTGATGATTTTTTAACACATCATTTGACATTTAACAGACATAATCAACAAATAAACGGAATTATACTTCTACACCCAAATTAGTGCTCATAATATATTTATGATTTTATAAGCTAGACCAATTCTTCCATGAACCACTGAATAAAGAGGATACTTTGCAAACAGTGACAGGAAACGGACTGAACTGACAAAGGCAAAGAGATCTCACATTTCACCCAAGAGAGAAACAACACCACCCAAGTCATCTTACACACAGACTGATGTCACAGCTATTTCAAGTGCCCCCCAAAAGGTTTACTGCTCATGTTTAAACTAATCGAGAGAGGTGACACTACATGATATAGCCAAGCTTATCATGTGTCACATCACCATCAGCTTGACAACATGATGACATGACTACAGCACTACACCCTAACCCCCTCTGGAGAGAAAACCTGTGTCCTTATGACCTCTGGAGAACAAACAGATGGGCGTCTGTAGAGGACTTTACAAAAATCAAATAAAGGGGTGCATCGGTTCATTTTTGGAAACTGGTGTGCTGTTAAACTGCTGTTAATAACATTCAGCCTCATCAAATGCACTGAGTATGTGGACATCATGATGAGAGCTCTGCCTACCGACATCCTTGTTATTAGGCACTCCTGACATTTAAAAGTCTTTGAGATCCAGCGTAACACACATTTATACAGTGAAAAATAATGATAAGCAGCTAACAGCAGCTAACGGGATCAAATAGCAGCAATGAGCTAGCTGTCAAAGCTGCTTATACAACCAGCTGCGTACATTTCCACACAGTTATAACGTAAACACACACCTTCATCCATCCGATCACTGCACCGCTGCTTCAGAGCAAACCATCATATATGCACCATATATCAGTTATAAGGCAAACTGTTAGACGTGAGAACGGGAGTAAAAGAAATACTGACCTCCAGGAGCTAACGCCACTGCAACTCGCTTTAGCCGTGTTTCTGTGGCCCTGCTGCGATGAAACAGCGTCTCACAACGCGTTCGTCGTTACAGAAGATGGCCAACACATGATGTGACAGTGGCACGACGCGACGACCGCACATCCGTGTTCTGTGGCGGCGGGTCAGTCGTGATGCAGTGATGTTTGTACCTGTAGATAAGCGCTGCTCGTCCTCCTCCTCTCTCTGCTTCCAAACTGACTGTACGATAGCGACGTCCGATTCGTCATGGAATCGTTTGTTTGATCCGGTTCTTTTCAAAGAATCAGCTGAACCGGTTCTCATCGCTTTACACACGGATTAGTCTGAATCGGTTCGCGCAGTTCTAGACTCATCACCGACTCACTGAACAGAGAGCTGCCTCTTTCGGACGTGTGTGATTAGTAATGAAAAGGGAATCGCTGCTTGAATTGCTAGCTAGGAAGAGCATTCGGAGCGAACAGATGGTTTAATTGATAGGGCGAAATAACTTGAATAGCCGTTATAAATACAAATATATATACTACTGTACCCGAGTGTGAGTTCCGCATACAGCAGGAGGCTGGACTGAACCATTCAGTCATCTAGAGGGGACACGCCTTCACGTTTAGGCTTACAGTCCGACACGTGAACTAACGATTTTCTGGCGTTTATTTAACAATGGCATGTCGGAACGAGGATAAAGGTGAAAACATTCGTTATGTGCTAGAGTGTGGTTCAAATGGTAAGATTGCACAGGCGCAAACTGATGACGTAGGAGACTGGTTATTTGCATATCGCTCAGAGGGTTTGATTGAGTAAACAAACACATGCCTCTGTCGGAAGCTCATGTTTCCTTAAATGAGGATGCTTAGAGATGCTTACATAACACAAATGCTAATAGACAGATCACTGACACCAATGTTGTAAGCTCAGATTCAGTATTTATTTACAGGGTCAACCCTGATCTATTAAAAAAAAAAACAGCAGAATAATAAAAACACAAACAATACGATCACGGCTGCGACAAATTAAATGATTACAATATGCACGCTTATTAATAATAATAACACACACACACACACACACACACACACAACTGACAGATTGCTTTTGGTATAAAAATATACTAAATAACGAACGAGAAGAAAAAATAACCGGTTCATTGAAACGAAGGATTCAAAAGAACCGATTTGGGGGAAAGAATCGGACTTCCCATCACTACTGTACCCGAGTGTGAGTTCCGCATACAGCAGGAGGCTGGACTGAACCATTCAGTCATCTAGAGGGGACACGCCTTCACGTTTAGGCTTACAGTCCGACACGTGAACTAACGATTTTCTGGCGTTTATTTAACAATGGCATGTCGGAACGAGGATAAAGGTGAAAACATTCGTTATGTGCTAGAGTGTGGTTCAAATGGTAAGATTGCACAGGCGCAAACTGATGACGTAGGAGACTGGTTATTTGCATATCGCTCAGAGGGTTTGATTGAGTAAACAAACACATGCCTCTGTCGGAAGCTCATGTTTCCTTAAATGAGGATGCTTAGAGATGCTTACATAACACAAATGCTAATAGACAGATCACTGACACCAATGTTGTAAGCTCAGATTCAGTATTTATTTACAGGGTCAACCCTGATCTATTAAAAAAAAAAACAGCAGAATAATAAAAACACAAACAATACGGAGGTTCCCTGTTTTAGGTAATATAAAGAATAGGCTTTAAGTCATCTAAGTTTTTCAGCATTTTTTCTCAGATAAATATATACTCTCAAAGAACAATAAATTTAGTCTACTATTTATACATATAAAGCAGTATACATTCAAGGACTTAAGGCGTTAAAACATAAGGTTGCATTTCTATGTTGTCAACCTTCCACAACTCTATTGAAGACTAATGTTAATCAGAGCAATGAGGTCCACTGAGCTGAGAGGGTACAAATAAATTAGAACCACAATCAACTTTGCATTACACTCTGCCTCATGTAATAATATTCTGTTAGAAAATAATTTTATCATTTCAGTTTGGAGAAAACAAAGCTTGTTGCAGCGAGAGTAAACGCTCATTACGGTGATTACTAGAATTTGTCTATGCCCTCATCACACTTCATATGTGCACAAACAGATGATAAGCAATGACAAATCACCAGGAAGATCATTGAGGTTCAACTATGCATGTCTTTTAGTGGGTTTTATACCAAGTTTCATGTGAACTGTCTGAGTCTGGCTGCTCAGCCAACTGGGGAAATATGAACAGATGAAAGTAAAAGACCTGCAATAACACACCTTGTATTGTCAAGCCCTTGTGAAAGATCGGAAATGGCTTAAAATGAGCCTGGACACGTCTAATCAGAAATCAAAAAGAGCTTGAGAAAAACTAATGTGCTTTAGCAATTTCACAAGCTGACAGAAAGGTGGTATAAAAACATACACATGGGCATCTGATTCAGGAAACAAAGTCTCAATAATTTGCACAGGCAGGGCAAAGAATGCCACAGCAAACCAACTGTATTAGTCAACCATGGAAATGATGGTTATTTTTGCAATGTTAGTTTCTGTAATTGATTCACCACAACCCATGTTTTTCATAAAAGTGGTTTTTAAGATCAGTAAAACCTGAATTGTACAAGGTCACACTGGGTATTTGCATTGCTACGGAGCATAATAAGACATTACAAAGAGCTCTCGTTTGCCTAGTCCCTTTTTTCAGAGCTACTGCTGTGATACGGTTCAGTTTAATACCAAAATAAGGTTGTTTCGCATTCATCGCCGATCACATGTAGATGGGACAGGTTTTATTCTAAGTTGTGCTTTCAGACTATCCGAATATCATCATAATGTACAAGTGAGGTACAACAAAACTGTGTTAAAACAGCCTGCTAGATAATTTCAAAATCACACAAAAAGGAATATTAACATTTAAATTAAATTATTTAGTATGTGTAAACAAAAGTTGACGAAACTATCCTCATTGAAGAATGGGTGTATATAGAACTAAATAGAACAATGATACTAGAAAAATGATGACAAATTATGACTTTTCTATGACAATTTCAACCACTGATTTTGGAAGATATATAGTACTATACTGTTCGTTTGTGATTTGTGTTGCATTCAGGGACAAAAATGACACATTGATCGAGGCAGGCATCAAACTGAGAATTAGGTTGTGTATGTATATTAAGTTTTCAAGAATGAACTGCCAAACAACATCAGCCGTCCAAGTAGAACTGACGAGTCAAAAAAAGAGAAACTACAGCATATTAGGTTGGAGATTGCAGTAACTAAACATGATAATGTAATGGAAAAGGAATAATCGTGGTCTACATTAAGTTTTCAGAAGGCTTCACACTTGGTTATCTATCTATCTATGTATCTCAGTAGTCGCTGTGAGTTGAGCAGCACACTGATTCGGTTTAATGGCTCCAGTGAGTCTTACCGATCCCTGCCAACCATATGCTACACTGGTAAGCCCTTTTAACCACTCCAAAACATTGGGTTGGTGTGCAGAATACATCTGCAATACGTTCGACCTCATAAAATCAGGCCATTCGGTTTGTCAGTTCTTCTTCTGAATATTCCAACCAGCAGAAAACAGAATTCCTTGTGTACGTTGTGATATGCTGGATCAGTGTAACACAGGCTCTGAATGGCTTGTACTGGTAAAGCACTGATTGATTTTGTCCATAAAAACCTTTGGATGTTAACAGAAGATTGCGGTTTAACATTAATTAGAGACTAAATGCATGTCAAACATCATGTTATAAAACTGAGCGAATGAGTTTGCACTAACAGAAGACTGTGTTACTCATTGCTGTGCATGATCTATGCAAGGTAAAAAAAAAATTCCAATCAATCAGTCAGAGTGGAATCACAAAAACACTGTAAATAAACTACATTTCTGTAATGAAGAACCTTCAAGACAACCTCTTCTGTTAATGAGAAAGTAGAAACCATTGCCAAAACCTGCTCAAAGCTTTTGGTACTGGAAACATTAGGTATAAACAAAAACAACAACTAAAATAATCATGACCACTCTGTTTGTGGCTGCTCACTCCAGCAAGTCAGTCTCTGAATCCAAACCCATCCAGATGCCCAAGCCCAAATGATCATGGTCAAATAACCATCACCTGTTCTGAACAGTCCCTGAGCTACTTCTGGCCATACAGTCTATCAATAGCACATTCAAAGGAAGCAGCTCACTGACCACTGGGTCCAAAATATAGAAGTCATGGAAGAGAATGATAAAACCAGGCTTCTTGTGACAGTGGGAGACATTTCAGCCCTTAAGGACATCATGACCCTGTGTTCTGTCTGTAGAGGACCCCTGCCCACCCATGTTTTCCTGACACTGGCTCATTCTGTCCTGGAGGTGGAGCGCTGGCTCACTCGTGGACATCCCAAATTTCAGAAAGCAGAGGTGGGAGTTTCTTGTCTTGGAGGCGCAGAGCAAAGACTTGCTCTGAGTGGACGCTGCTCAGTGTGCGTAGGCTGACCAGCTTCATCAGCATCCGGGGAAACATCAGATGATCCTTTGGTGGGGATTAATGAGCAGCAGATGATTGGGAATACAAAGAAATAGCTAAATCTCATCAGTTATACAGTGTTTTTATTGTTAACGAAAACTACTAAAATCATGTTTTGTCAACTGAAATAAAGCTGAAATAAAATGAAATATAAATAGATGAAAAACAGATTTAAAAAAAGCTAAAAAGAAATAGAAGTGACAAGCACATGACAAAATCAATAAAACTAAAATTAAACTGAAAATATAAAAATAAAAGCTAATTTAAAATATTTATAAATGTTATAATAGTATATAAATAATACTACAATAAAACTGGTTATAGTCAATCGTTATTATATGTTATTGGTGCAAAGGTAGAATCATCAGTGCCACCAACTGGATGCAAAATGACACAACAGGCAAAATATATACTGCCTTTGTTGTATGACAAAATACTAATATATTTACTATAATCTTACATAGACTACCATTCAAACATTTGGGGTAAGATTTTTTTTATAACATGTATTATGTTATATAAATATTTATAATGTTACAAAAGATTTCTTTTTGAATGTAAAATAAATTGTATTTATTAAAAAAATCTTGAAAAATAATTATCATTGCACATTGGTTTTCAACATTGATGATGATGATGATGATAAGAAATGTTTCTTGAGCACCAAATCAGCATATTAGAATGATTTTTGAAGGATCATGTGACACTGAAAATTATGTTTGCCATCACAGGAATACATTTTTTTATATATATATTAAAATACAAAAAAGTTTTTCACAATATTATTGTTTTACTGTATTTTTAATCAAATAAATGTAGTCTTGGTGAGCATAAGAGACCTATTTCAAAACATTAAAAAAAATCTTACTGACCACAAACTTTTGAATGGTATTGTATGACTTACAAATGAACAAACACTATAACAAAACACTAATATTCTTTTAGCACAAATTTTTCTTCTTTAAGTGTTATTTTTGCCCTCTAAGGTAAATCATACTCACGTTGGGTCGTTTTATTCTGATGTAAGAGTGGAGAGCATCCACATATGGCTGCTGTAGTCTTTCCACTAACTCGTGATCCTGCACATTCGGTCGGTCTGACCCCCACCACACACACACACACACACACACACACACACAAGACAAGAATAGCAAGAGTGATTGACACAAATGAATAAGAATGATGCTGCATTTAATTTGTTTTGTGAGAAAGTGCCTTGGGAATTACTGAAGGATGGATCATTAAAAATCTCTCAAAATAAAGCAGCAGCACACCAGATGCCAATCTCAAATTAGAGATTTAAAATTACTACTAAATCTAATGGGGATATTAAAAATGGCTTCCCCTTTCAAAACATAACATAACATATTAAACCCTTTATGACACTCAAACAAGGCTTAATTATTAGAAATCCATAATAGCAAGCTGAATACAAATACTCTTCTATAGTAGGAGGTTTTGTGTCGTTATAAAACTCATTGTACTCATAATTATTTTGCTGCTTTTTTATTTCTTCACCCCTGAAAATGGGACATACTGATATTTCTAAACAAGAATAGGGCCAAATAAATGCCTGATAAGACTCACCAGAAGCCAAACAATATAAAATCGGTGCTTGTGTCAAACTGACCTGCTGAGAAAATGTTGATAGCGATGAGCAAAGCGTACTCTGCCTCATCCAGGTGGAGGTCATTCATGCCTTTTGAAAACTCAAAGATGGGGTTGATGAACTCAAACTGCAGCCCTGCGGACGAGCCAGAGGACAGAGATCATTTTAGGACATGAACAACAAAAACAGGTCTCAAATAAAACTCACACTAAATATTCATAAGGCTTGAACTAAGGGTGGACTATATTACCAAAATAAAGGTATTTCAATTTTTTTTATTAATGATAAGAATACATTTCACAAAGTAGTTATTTTTAAAAATAAGAATAATTATGCAAATTTGACATACCTGTAAGCCCTAGCTGTAACAAATAATATTCTTCATTATTGTAAACATTAGGCAAGTTTAAAACAAGCACCCATTTAAAAATTTCATACAGTACCTGCTTTGGCAAAATCTTCTTTATTGTAACTGAAGTCTTTGAGGAAGGTGATGCTCTCTATCACTGGATTATAACGTCTGGAAGTCTCTAGCAGCATGATCTACAGGAGAAAAGAACGTTTAGCAGGTACATTAAACAAGCAGTACAGGCTGTGCTTGGTTTTTCACAACATCTGTCACCAGGTGGCAGATTTTCTTAAGCACTCCGTGTTTCAAAATAACAGCAGAAACAAGTCTGCCAAAGGACAGTGCTCCATCTGCGTACACAAAAAACAGCAACAGAACATGACCGAAAACAATGTGTGTTAAAGGTCAGTCAAGTCTAACCTCTATAGTTGAGGTCTTCAGCAGGGCGATCTGGTCCTCTCGGGTGAGCTCCAGGAAGCCAGGCAGCTGTTTAGCAAAGTCTACAATCTCCTGCACAGACATGATGGCCAGCTCAGTGAAATGAGCAAATCGCTGCTGTCGAACCTCTCGGTTAAGTGGGTCCTGACTCTGTGGCCATGGCTGAAAAACAACAGATCTTGATGTAAACTTTTAGGATCAATGCATCACAGTTTCAGAAAGATTCGATCTATATGTCACAATGCATAATTGGATATTTGAAGGATTAAATACACGTCTTTCTGAGCAAACGCACAACGCAAAGGGCAACTGTAGTTGAATAAACATGTATTAAATGCTTTACAAAGCTGAGCTACAATCGTATTAACTGGCCTGTTAGTCCGCCTTCACAAAAACCAGACTAGTACGATTTCAGTCAAGACTATTCCATTTTAAAACAACAAATTACTATTTTTGTCCGCTTGAAATTAAACTTTTAAAGCTCACTTAAATGCACTTACAGTGACTTTGGGCCGTTCAAGAAAAGAGCTTTTGTTGCACTGTTTCTGCAAGGCCACCAGTTTTTCGATCATCTCCTGCTGTTCAGGAGCCAGAGGGGGCATCTCAGGGGCAGGGCCGGGTGTTGCCACTGCAGAGGTACGTGCCGTCCCCTCTTCCTGTTTTTTCATCTTTTTCAGTCGGATCTGCTCTTCTGACAGCACACCTATAATAGACAGAGAGATAACGATAAGCAAAACAAGCACTACATGATCATAATGTCATATGAATATATCATAACAGATAAGATAAATGATTGACGGCATCTGTATGGACTGCTTGTGACATTCATGTTTAATGAAAAAAGCCACACATGGATGAAAAAGAAAGGTACACTGCTGTTCCAAATGTGTGTTTTTTTTTTTAATAAAATGTATATTTTGATTCAGCAAGGATGCATTAAAGTCACAAAATGTTCTATTTCACATAAATGCTGTTCTTTTGAACTTTCCAGTCATGAAAGAATCCTGAAAAAAAAAAAAAGTATAATGGTTTCTACAAACATTTTAAGCAGCCTAACTGTTTTCAAAATTGACAATAATTCGATTTTTTTCTGAGCACCAAATCAGCATATTAGAATGATTTCTGAGAGATCATGTGACACTGAAGACTGGAGCCTGGCTGCTGGAAATTCAGCTTTGCCCTCACAGGAATAAACTACATTTTTAAAATGTATTAAATAGAAAAACAGTTATTGTATTTTACAATGTTACTGTTCATGGTATTTCTGATCAAATAAAAGCAGCCTTGGTGAGCATAAGAAACTTCTTTCAAAAACAGCCTAGTGTTGATGTTCAAAGAGTGTCACTCACATTGCTCCAGCATGCCGGCCTCCCTGCACTTGCGCAGACGGCACTGCTGACACTTGCGGCGCATGTACATATCCATCTCACAGCGGCCCGAATTCTTGCAGGTGTATTGAGCTCCTTTGATGACGCTGCGCCTGAAGAAACCTTTACAACCCTCACAGCTGAGCACGTTGTAATGAAAGCCAGATGCTTTGTCTCCACATACACTACACACCTCATTCCCCAGCATCTTGGGAGCAGGGCCTTTCTTTCTCTTGACTGGCTGACCCTCTGCACAAACATACACAAGACAGAAACACTCATGACCTTTGCAAATCCAAAGCCTCATTCACAAATAAATCATGAAATAATACCACACAACCTAACTCATGAATGAGTGCTTTTGTGTTTACTTAACCAGTTAAGCCAGTTCACCCACACATATTCACATTCTCAAACTGACAGTCTAAAAGTCACGTGTCACACCTTATGCAATAGGTAAAGTTCAACTCAACATTATCTGAATCCTTTTACACTATAAGCAATGTGAAGTATATTATCTCTGAAAAGAGTCCAGAAGTATCCTGCATTTGTTCAATCTCACCTGGTACAGGTGTGTCCTCTGTGGGGTACATCTTGATGTCGCTGGGCTCCATGAGCAGAGTGTCGTTCAGGTCATTGTGTGAGGTGCCGTATGAGGCCGTCTGACTGAGATTCTCCTGTTTCACTTCTGCTGTCGCTGCTGAAGGGCCCTCTTCACTGGCACAGCACAGAGAGTCCCCTGTACACACATACCAACAACACACAGTTCTATTAAGGCTGGGTCGGTTGATTAAATAGGCGTTCAAAACAATCAACTAGTCAATTAGTAAGAATGACTAGATTTTTTTTTAAAGATACTTTTTAATATAGCGTTGCATACACATGCAGACACATGAATTTTGGTCATGTCACATGCTGTGTTTTGCATGTATATATTATTATACAGGGAGCCCTTTGGATTAGTCATTGAAACAAGGTACCAAATAGCTGGAAATATGCTGAAAACATTGAACCTTAGACATTTTGCTACATCTCTGGTTCTAATGGATGATTATTACATATCACACAACCAACAACAACATGCATAAATATAACACATATGACCCATATTTGTATGTATCAATTGGTTAATTGGTTATTTACAAACATCAAAACACCCTGAAAATGGTTTATATGTTTTTATCCACACCTCTACATAGCAACATACCTTTACACAAATTGTATTTTAATCACGCTAAAAAAAAAAAAAAAATCACTGAGAAATTTCTCAAAATATCTTATTTTAGTTTCCACTGAATTAAAAAGTCATTCAGGTTTGGATTCAGGTTAAAATTCATACATTATCTCACGATAACTCATAACACTTTTCTGACTGAATATTGCAATTACTTTTAAATTACTGTTGTCAAGGTGATTCTAGTGGATACACGAAGTCAGTTCCTCAAGTTCACAAAACCTTTCATGAAATATGTTGTAAAGTAAAGCGTGTGTTATTTTGCTTAGAAATAAAAGCCACAGGCATTGACATTCAAATATTTATAGGTGTGACTAAAGTGGTCAAATATGTTCTGGCAACTTCTGATTTTTATCCACCCTCTGTATGTGAACATTTTCACATTCTAGTAAAAGAAAAATGAGAGTCTTACCATGACCAACATCAGTGATATCAGTCGTAGAAAGGGTGGACATCTTCCACACAGCCACTTGTCATAACGAACCAAGACTGCACCTGCAGAGCATGATAAAAGCAAAAGCTGAAGCCTTGAAAGACTGCCTGATTCTGTTTATAATGTTAAGTCACCAAAACTGCCTCAAACTGACACTATCTTTGAATATAAAATTTAATATTGAATCAAAACCACCTACAAAGTAGAACGGCAAGCAGCACAGCGTGTTCAAAAAGCAACGACACACCTGTCATGTACAAAGTCAGCACACATAATATGGGCAGCAGTGGTCTGCCACTCTCACTGTCTGAATGCACGCAATGCTGATCTTCACTGATGACTGCCAGTACAGTTCCTTAAGTAGTCACACTTCTGTATGGAAAGCTCACAAAAACTACACAGTCACCCTTTCACATCATGGGATTTTTTCTTAAGCTAAACTGTGCACAGCAAAAAAACAAAATACAATTGAGAAATATTCATCAAAGTGAATGTAAGTTTTTGTCAACTAAGCATGCTGTATGAACTACCTACTTCAGAATAGGAATTGAAAGTGCAAAAAAAAATTTAATTGGTCAAGACTGGTCACTCATGGATGTTTCTTTGAGAGTTTTAGGAAACTGTTCTAACAGAGAGGGACATCTGATTTGGGAAAGGATATTTTGGATAAAGGTTCAATCACATTAACCCTGGCATGACAAAATAATTTATTAAATGTAATGTAATTTCCCTGATGGACTTCCAATGGTAGACAAATTTCACATCAAAGCTTTTTGAACTTTGACATATAAAATCACAGCTCTGGCCAAACAGCAAGTTACTTGGTCTGCCAGTGACCTCTGTGTGGGCAGTCCACAACCACAGGTCCTGCCTACTTCGCCTGGGAAACTGCCACGCAAGGGTAAATGTGACCATGCCTTAAAAATGCAGAACAATATGCTGATTCAATTCTACAATATGACCTTATCAGCTATAAGCAAAAGAACCATGACTCACAAAAACAAAATGCTACTTAAAAAAAAAAAAAAAAAAAAAAAAAAAATTCTAAGGGGAACTTCTTTT